TGATCAAAGCAAGATAAGAGCTTCCAAATGCTGGGGCAGTACAGGTGGCTTCTTCAGGTGCTGGCAGCTCTCACAGAGGGTGCAGTGTTTGGGATGTGTTAGCCCAGTGGCCGGGATTTGCATGGGCACAATACATCTCTTCACTCCCTGGCAGGTTCTTGGCTTGGGAACTGTTGTATTAAACCTCAGACCAGCGTTTCCACCCGGTAATCGGTATCGCCCTATTTACTTTGTTTCTCCCTTTTTCTTCTTGGAGACAATACACATTTTATTCTTTGTCAGCAGAAGGCAGGGCAAGGGCTCACCCTTCAGGGCACCCCACTCCTCCTGGAAGCTGCAGGCATCCAGCACCCCGGCAGCTGCAGCTTTGCCTCCACCCAGCAAAGAGGTGACACCCAGCGCGTGTTCATGGCGCCAAAAAACAAAAAGCTTTGCACGTTGATCTCTACTGACTTAGGCGTTGTGAGAGAGACCTGGCCACCCTTTTACCCAAAAGCTTTGTCCTCGGTAAAATCTGAAGACATTGCAAGTTTTGTTTGCTCATCAAGGAACAGCAGAACTGCCAGACCTCTGAAAATCCGGAACACAAGCACCATGGCAGCACAGCTCAGCCCTAAGGCACGTGCTTAGCAACACCAACTCTCCCAGGAGGGAAGGTACCAGACACACACGTGCTGCACAGCCCCTCTGTGCACAGGCAGTAAAACTGATCCCTTCCAAATGCTCTGGATTTGTTGCATGTTTAGAGGACAGCTGTGCTGTGCTGTGCTGTGCTGGGCTGTGCGGGGCTGTGCGGGGCTGTGCTGTGCCCCCCCCGCCCCGCAGCCGGGCTGAGCTCCTGGCCGTTCAATCACCCGGGCAGGTAATTACAGCACGGCCCCAGGGAAAGGAGGCAGCAGGTTCCCCTGGTGCTTCCTCAGCGCTGATCCTGGGAACCGAGACCTGCGGTTCTGCACGTGAAGCGTTTCCCGCTGGCAAGGGCAGTGCTGCTGGCACAGGGACAGCACAGACGTTGGTGAGACCAGTTGAAGGGTAAAGGTTGTTGTTGGTACCAGACACAGACACGTTTGGGGTTTGCAGAAAGGCTGGGGTGCAGGGTGTGATGGTGCCTCCAGCTGCAATGACTGGATTAATAAAACTGTCCCTGCCTGTACAAATCATGTCTCTCGAGGCTCATTTTTAGCTCCTGCTAATGTGTTCTATTCTTAACTCCGTGGTCTCTTTGTGGCTCTCAGAGGTGAGGTGCTGCAGCACTTCTTGATGAGGGCCATGACTGATGGCAGCTGATCCATCAGGAGCTGATCCATGGGCAGCTGATCCATCAGGAGCTGATCCATCAGGAGCTGATCCATGGGCAGCTGAGCCATCAGGAGCTGATCCATCAGGAGCTGATCCATGGGCAGCTGAGCCATCAGGAGCTGATCCATGGGCAGCTGATCCATCAGGAGCTGATCCATTAGGAGCTGATCAGGACCACCAGGAGCCCCCAGGGATGGTGCTGATGATCTCCTGGGGCAGCTGTGGCTCAGGGTGGCTCGGGGACCTCTCAGAAGCTGCTGCAGCTGGTTTTGTTTCCTGTTTTGCCAGAGGGTGAGGTTGTTTCGAATGGGATTTGAGAGCCCAGTGAGGCAGGGTCAGTCACTGTCTGAAGAAGGGGGTAGGAGGCAGGAACCAAAGTGATGCTGGCCCAAATCCTGCTCACCAGCAGAACAGGTGTTTACTGTTGAGTCCTGTGTATCTTCCTGACAGGACAGACTCTCTTCTTTCTTGGATGCTTTGGTCACTAGTATTATTACAATAAAAGTATATTATTATTATAAAAGTATATTATTATAAATCACTATAATGTTATAATTATATATTAATATAATTTTATTATATTTATTATTATAAATTATAATTATAAAATTAGTATTATTAGTATTTTTACAATAAAAGTATTAATTTTTGTTTTCATCAGGTACAGGAGGACAACATTGTCTCATGCATCTTGTGTTGCTGCTCAGGCTGGCTCAGCCAAGCCCTGCTCCTGTCTCACTCTGTTCATGCCTGTGCTGCCAACAGCAGGTACTTGCACCAGTGTGAAAGGGGAGGTGCAGCAGCAAGTTTGACCACTGCAAGTCACAAATGAGACTAGAAAGGTGGTTTAGTATAAAAGCTCTGGAGCTGCAGGATCTAAGGTCAGGTTGTCAGACCTGTGACCTCAGATGTACCTGAAGACAACCTGGTTCTTCCACAACTTTGTTCTGTTGACTTTATTTCACACTCTATCTATCTTCTGTTCTGCTGAGTTAATTGGCACAACTCTGTTTTGCAGACTATTCAGCTAGATGAAGGTATTTAGATTTTTAAATCATTAGGTTGTCTAGTCTGAGCTGTATAATGGGCAACTTCACCAGAATTTATCTCAGTAGTTTGTTCTAATAAAGCCTCTCTTCTGTCAATTAATCCAGCTGGGAAGACTGACATCAGGACAGAATGTGGTATTTTCCTTGGCAGGTGGTTTCAGTGGCTTGTTAAATTTAGGTGCTCAATTGCCAACATGATTTTTTCCTCCTGTTTGCATAACCCCCCACCCACTAATGGTTTTATTCCACCTGTGGACCTCAGCCACCTGCTGTAGTTAAGGCCTTATGAGTGAGGTTTGTGCATCAGCTGCCTGGAGCTTGCTTTCTATACCCACTGATGACTTCTTTCTGGCCTGGAGGTGTGAGCTCCTGTTTAACCAAGTGATTAAGCAGTACTAGACAAACCTTCCAGTTCTGTCCTTAAGGTGTTTTCTGTTGGCTGTCAACAAGAACTGCATCCCTCTGGGCAGATAATTAAGAAGACAGAATGGTTATACTTGCTTTTGTAGAACTTCAAGGCCCACAGGAGTCTGGCCACGTGCCCTTCTCTTCTGTAGCTGCTGAGAGCCCCTCAGCTGTGCCCAGCAAAGTGGTCATCGTGGTGCCCTTCGTGTGGCCCTCAGGGCCTCAGAAGGAAGGGCTGAGGCTCTGCAGGTCCCACACACAGCCCAACAAACACTGGGAGTTGGGCCCTGGGAATGTGGTCTGCATATGGGAAAACCTGCAGCTGCTCTGGGGTGAATTCTTGTTTGCTGAACTCTCAGTTCTGGCTGTTGGGAAGTGGAGCCAGCGTGGCCCTGCACCCTGCACTTTGTCTTGCATCTGCTTTACTTTCCTTAGATGACTTTCCAGCACTGAATGTAGTAACCACCTCCCCCAGCCACCCTTCAGGGGGCTGTTCCTGGTGTCACCAGGCTGCTTCCACCTCTGCAGCACCTTCTCTTCTACGATCTCTGATCCAAGAAAGCTCAGAAGAAGGTACTGACATCAGGGCTGCACCAGGGCCTGGCAGTAAGGGTGGACACTCTGATGGTTGTTTTTCTCAAGATTTTGCAAAACTCTTACATTTCTGATCCAGCTGAGGTGGACATGGAGCTGGCCAAGCAGGGTTTGTGCTGTGCAGAGCACACAGTGAGCACAGATGGGTTTGGATCTTTTATAACTTCTGTGACAATGATACTGCAGAATCACTGATGGTTGGACTTGGTGATCTCAGAGGTCTGTTCCAACCATGATCATTCTGTGATCACCATGGCCAATAACATAATAATTACAAGTGGAGGTTATTCCTGCAGCCACCGTGGGACACTTGCATTGTTTCCATCCTTCCTGAAGGTGTGTTGTGATGGGTGTGATGCCAGTCCTGCAGTAATGAGGCTGTTACTGAAGAGGTTAAAACTCTTCTACAAACAGAGGAGGAATGCCAGAGGGTGGTCCACATGCAAACTGATGTTCTGAGCTGCAAAACCTCCATTCTGGGCAAGAAAAACGATCCTGTGGGATCTGCTGGGAAAGCTCTGGGGTTGCAATGTGGGCATAAGGCTCTGCGAGGCCTCCAGGCTGCAAATTGGACTGTGCTCCTAACCCTGAGACACTTCACACCTCTGCCCCTCATTAGTGCTCCCTGGATCCACCCTGAGCTGTCCCTGGGAGCAGGTTGTGGCTGGAGCTGAGTCAGAGGGAACAGCCAAGTGCTCCAGGCCTGTGCCCCATGAGCCACCAGGGTTTGCAGCACCCCAGGAAGAGACTGAATGTTCAGAAAGCTGAAGGCAAGGACACAGCTCGAGTTGGGGTGGCTCCTGAGCTGGGGGGTGTTGTGACAGGTCTGGCATTTGCCAGTTTGAATTTGTCTGGGAGCCTGGCCATGGCAGCCCTGCTTTCCTTCTGGTTCTTTTTGTTTTGTGTTGTTTGCTTGTTATAAAAGAAGAATTATTTTTAAACACTCACTGGTATCCTGTTAAAATGGAAATAAGCTTTTGCTTTTTCATTATATTTTCTACATTTTCAAGTGTATCTGTCCTCAAACTTAGCTCTGCTGTCTGGAATAATTACTTCTTTCCTCTCCCTTAAGACAAAACAGGCCCTGTGGCAAGAAACCCAGTTCCCAGTGGGGTTTGCTACCATGTAGGTACCACTCACACTCTTCCTACCTCAGGTCTTCTCAGGTCAGATCATCTCTGACTGAGGCCTCCAAATACAGCAGTTTCATCCTCAAAATATCTCCCTGGGATCCTTTTTTTACCCTAAACTAATTCATCAGCTTTGACTATCAAAAAATTGCCAGCCTAAAATTCTACTGATGGGGTGGACTTTCCTACCTGACCTAAGAAAGGAACTTGGACAGATGATTTGTACCATTTAAGGAGCTATTTTCAGCTGTGTTGACCGACTATTAAATTAAAGTTAACTTTGCTAATTCACTTTGGAAAGTGCTTTTGAAAAGGAAACCTTTAGGGTAACCTCTGCTTTGACTTTCATGCTGTTCATTTGCATTTGTTTCACTATAAATCTTGCTTCTATTTGTATTGTGGTTCAGAAAAGCCATTTTTCCAGGCCTGAACTCTGCAGCAGGGTCAGACATGATCTCACCTGGACAGATGAACCTCATGCTCTCTAATAACATTGTAAAAATGAGACCTTCAGCTTGGAGAGAGGGGAGTGCCTTTCTAATTACAGTGAATGGAATAATTGTGCAGCAATATATGCAGTATCATCAGGCTCTGCTAATTAATTTAGAATGTACATTAATCCACACAGATGGCTTAAAGTGGCCACATTAAGGCTGAACTAAGGATGTGTCACCACCCAAATGGGATCCAGCTCCTTCTATAGCTGTAAAATATACAGTAAAGTCAAGTTGACCTTATTGTGGTGGAAAGTCCTTGAATTTAAAATAGTTAGGGGCTGGGCAACTGCTTTGGGGAAATGTCTCATGTGCCTGCTCTATTCTGGTGCTCTCCCTGAGGCATCACTTCCTGGCCACTGTCAGGAGCAGGATCCTGAGCTGCACAGACCTTTGTCTGACCCAGGGTGTCTGCTGGGGTTTTCCTTACATCTTCTTA